CCGCGTCAGAACCCAGAGGAGGATCTCCACCAGGACCTGGACCGCCGGCCCGGCTCTGGGCTTCCAACACAGGGCAGCCACTATCTGTCTTTGGTTCTTTAAGACTCATTCCCGGCAGGCTCCGCATGTGGAACGCTGGCATGTCGGCTTGCCTTGGCTGCGGAGGGACTACACCAGCTTATGTGCTGCTTGCATGAGGGCTTTGGCTATTTTTAGGCAGCAGCTAATCCATTAACTGCATAATGCTACCACGGATGACTCACAGAACACAGCAGTCAAATTAAAAAATAGTAGGATGCACGAAAAGCCATCGGGGTAAACGTGCAGTAAGCACATCATTATAACGTGCCGTATGTGTGAACCTCCCCCCCCCAACACACACACACAGACACGCCAGGACAGTTGGGGGAAGGAAGTGGCACTGAATATTAAGCGGTCGCCGTGGCGGTAACGGGAAGCAGTCACCCCAGGAGGATCTGGGAAGCGACAGACAGTCCCACTAACATAAGGAGCTCGGCAGTTAGGAGAGAAGCAGTCCAAGAAAAGAGTCACCCAGAGCACTTTTCAAGTAAGATCTGCTCCAAGTCTTCTGAGCCAAGTATGTGTACTTTTCAGAAAAGTTGAGGCCTGGGAGCATGAGGCAGAGAGGTAGGAGGCTGCTCACATACAGAACACTGTTTGCCAGATGGAAGCTGAAGACCCTCCAGGTGGGACACTCCTAGCAGGCCTGCTGCAGGAGAGGCCCATGAGCCGCAGTCCCCGCCTGGGTCCTCTTACTGATGTGGAGGGCTGGACCATGCATCCACCCCTCCAGTCCAGTGCACACGCAGGAAAGCACTGCATGTGTACGCTCACACGTAGAAGTAGCTGTATGCATGCTTCCGGGCCCGTCATTGGGAACATGCCACAGGAACACAGGCAGGGTAAACATAGCTCATTGGGAAAGTTCAGCCTTTTTTCTGGGCTTTTCTAAACTATCTCTCCTTCCATAAACTCTGTTTACTATAGAGCACAGAGCCTTTTCTCTTTCAGAAGTCAACCATTTCCCTTCTCAGGGCCGAAGTCACTTAAGGGAAGCAGGGACGGGACACTAACATTGTTGAGGGCCCACTACGTGCTACATCGTGTGCTGGTTCCTTTGAATGTATTTTCTTTAATTCTTACATTATTCCCACTACATAACCAAGGATGGAAGGCTGGGGTAGAATTTGCATGGTACATTATTTGTGCAATTATTTGTAAATATTTGCACAAGGCCCCGGCGCTACGGAGTGGTGGGGGGCAGATTCAGACTGAGGTCTTTTTGGCTCCAGATCCCACATTCTCCTTCCAGCCAACCTGCTTCCCACCCAAGCAGGTGATGTTCCACACTCCTATTGCCTGGGATTCCTTCTGGGACTCGCCACAGACTTATGGACTCAAACTTGGAGAATATTAAGTGGATTATATTTGGGAGTGAGGCTCTGAGGGAAGTGATTCTACTGTCCCTTGGGGCTCTCAACCAGAATCATCAGGGCTGAGGGGCAGACTGGATGGAAGCAGGGACCCTCCCAGCAGGGGTGGAGGGAGTGTGCTACCTGCCCTTCACCGGAAGAGGAAGAAGACTGCAGAGTGGCCAAAAGAAGCTTCCTGTGGAGCCCATAGTACTAAGGGATAACGCCTGGGGTGGTCACTGGGGTGCACAGAAATGCCCTGTTGCGTAAGACCAGCCCCAGGGATGGGGACGAATACGGGAAAGTATTTTTCTCCTACACTGCCTTGTCTGGTGCTTCAGCTGGAAACAACATTGGAGGCATCTTTGAATAATAATAAGAAGAAAATCAGCTCCTTAAAAATAATCACCAAAATAAAGCCCCTCTGTTTCACACAGGCTGGCTTTAGTTCCCCTCCATCCACAGTCTACGGCGGGTCCTGAGCGTGAGGTCAGCGGAGGTGCCCTTTATGGCCCCCGGTTCTGGTGTTGGTGCTGGCCAGTTTCATAAGGGCGGTTCTGCAGGGCAGGAGGGAAAGCCAAGGATTACAGAACAAGGAGGCCCAAGTATCTACCAGATGTAAGGGGTCATCTACCTGTTTCGAGATGAGAAAAATGGCAGCTCTGAGAGGTAAAACAACTGGTCTGGCAGCTGACCGGCACCCGGACTCCTGGCTTTCTCTGCGCCACATGGCCTTCTCGGGATCCTGCTTAGGTTTTATAAGGTCAGACCCTGCTTGGGTTTTATAAGGTCAGGCCTCCTGAGGCCCTCCAACCAGGTAGGATTTATGCCCAGGGCCATAAAGCCACCTACTATGGAAAAACCAGCCCTGCTCCTTCAACTTCCCCAATCAAATCTGTGATTTTGCTAATTAAGTTAAACAATTTGCACATTTCTAATCTCCCTGTAAGTGCAAGGGTTAGTGATTCTAGTCAGTAGGGAAGACATGGACTGATCTGCAGGCTGGGGAGAGAGCTCTCAGTGACACCGGTCACAGAGGAAAGCGCCCCGTCCTGGCACATAAATTAAATCTGGACTTGAGTTCTCCCTGACTCTCCAGGACGCTGCTCTGTCACTGAGGCAGACACAGCTGGGGGAGTATTTCCACTGTGATGATGTCAGCCTGTTTCTGATAGGCTCCCAGTAGAGTGACAAATCACTGGCTGTGCTGGGGGCCTGCACTTGTTTCTATAACAGCTCTCTCACAGGTCTTTGCAGAAGCCCTTCCCAGCATGCAGCCCCGACCACACAGGGGCCCTCCTGACAGACCTGCGAACAGGCTGTGACAAATATTCCACCTTCTAATTTGCACCTTGGCTGTCAGCAGAGAGACGAGTGGTCTGGCTACGGGAAGGTAATGAGACTTGGCCTGGAAGCCAATTTCTCTATCATTTAGACGTTCATTCTGCAAAGTATCAAGCAGGGAAAACACAGAGAGATGCTTGCTTCCTCTCTAAGACCTGCCAGGTCCATTTGAAACCTAAAGAGGCCGTGAGCGCTGGTGTGAGAGGCTGCCAGGGCCTCGGAGATGCAGCCCACGGCTAGAGCTGCTCTTTCTTCTCAAGTTGAAAGAGATGCTGGTAAGGAACCAGGAGTGTTTAAAAATATCACACCTCTTTCCATTCCTACTTCTGTGCACACTAACGCTTTAAGGATAAAAAAAAAACAAAAAAAAAAAAACAAAAAAAAAAAAAAAAAAACAACTACCATGAAAAACACATTTACTTTTCATTCTTGTTTATTTACCATGCTTCTCCTGGGGACTCTTAAAAAGACAGCTTTGCTAAAGAGAATTCCTTTTTCCTACGAGGACCGACCCCAATCCATGTAGGAAGGTCGGAGTGAGCAGCAACTACAGATGGGTAGTGAGTTGTACATAATGATGCCATTTTAAAAAGCTTGAGTTTTGCTCTTTCTTTGAATCAGAACTTTGAGAAATCTTTTGTGGGTCTTACCAAAGAGTCTAAGCCTACAGTGACATCTCACCATAAAAAAGAAAAATATTTGGGGTTAAAAGCTCTTGGCAAGGCAGGTCCTGGCTGTTGTGTAAGATCCCACATCCGGTCATTCAAAAGGAGTTCCGGAAAACACTTTGGAAAATTGGCCTCCCTCCACTTCACTTGATCTTTTAAAAATGTACTTAGAACAATTCAAACCATTAACTAGTTTGTCTTGTTTTGTTTGTTTTATTTTCTGTAAATGTCCCATCAGCTAAGCCTTGACCCTTTTCCAACTCACACCTGAAGGAGGCGCTGTCACAGCCGAGAGTTTCTAAGTCCCTGATGGAAACATCCCCTGAGAGCGGGCACTACCACCAGGAGAGTTCCCATGGGGGCCTACTCTGTTTGATCCAGTCACCCTGGGTAGTGACGTTGCTGTTTGCTATAATGGGCTATAGAAAAAATGCATCCAAGAGATTTAAGAGCCTGGAAAAGGGTAGACTGAAGGAGCCCAGGGAAATTATAAGAGAGTTGATCATAGGTCTAGTTTCTAACATGAGTCAGCTTGGCTACACATGACTCTTGGGGTTCCTATTCACCCCAAGCCCAGCAGAGCACCTGGGACAGCCCTGACTTCTTGGATTGTATGAACCCTGCCTTTTATTTTCTGTGTTCGGATGCTCTGACATCTGGGGGCCTTGCTGACTCTGGAGGGATTGCCCCTCTGGGGTTAGCTAATTCCTAGAGATAGCAATCAACTCTGCTGGGAGCAGACCCTTCATATGCAAACCACTCAGGCACCTCCTTTAGGAGGCTCAGACTCCTGGCCACTGCCCACCTGCCCCAGTCACCTCACAGCAGGTACCAGACAACTAGGAGGAGAGCTAACTATAAAGTTTTCAAACCAGCCAGTCCCACACCTACTCACCCTCTCACCCACTCCTCCCCACAGAAACCACAATACTCCCCGTTTTCTCCTCACTCCCTCTGCCTCCTGACTGAGCCTGGTGCTTCCCCGTGTGGCATGTCCCCTCTTGGGATCTGGGAGTATAAGAACTATGTTTTCAATGGCCATTATCTCATCTCTTGGCCTCGCCACGCCTGACCAACAATAAAACCTGCATTTTAAAACACGGATGTTGGTATGAGATATGGTGGGTGACTCTGGGCATCTATTATCCTTACCTGACCATCAGTGTCCCTTCCTGGTGGGGAAAAAGGGGCAGATGGGCCTCTAGAAGGGCCTTAACCCAGCCTTTCTCAGTCAGGTTCCCACCTGAACCCCAGAACAAAAGCATAACTTGAGTGATGATTTCCTTAAATTGTCCTGCGGCTGGGACCTGACTAGCCTCACTCCAGGTGCAGAGAAGTTAGATCACTGCAAACAGCAGACGTCTTGGGGCACCGGGGCTAATTCTCTTAGAGAATCTTCTTAGAGAAGACTCAGAGTCCAAAGTCTGGGTACAAATGAAAGCCTTTCACTCCCCCCAGAGCACGGCAGAGTCTGCGCCCGGAAGACGTTCATCTCGCCAGGAAGCGAGGAAGGTGTGTGGTGGGTGTCCCCGCCTGGGACCTGGGTGAACATTACCTGTGCCCGGTGCTCCCCGACGGCGAACTGGATGACGGCGACGCCGGGGCTGTGGCTGTCCTCAATCCTCTCCACGGTGCTGGAGTCGATCTTCAGGTCATTGCTGATCTCTGCGCTCTGGATGAAGTCCTCCGTTTTTAAGTCCTCCACCTTCTTCAGCTCCCCGTTGGCCAGTTGGATGATGGAGCCTTTCATGAAGTAGGGGGGCAGCGTCGGGGGCACTGCTGCCGGGGACGCCATGGACTGCACCACGGGCAGGTGGATCTGGGCCTGCACCATGGCCGGGTAGGCGGCCTGGGTGACTAGGGCCTCTGGGCTGAAGTTCTCACTCTTGGGAAGGGCGGTGGAGACGAACGTGTGAGGCACTGCTGCAAACTGGGGCGACGACGTGGCTATTGCAGAGGCAGCTCCCGACCCGTCCACGTCAGCACTGCCCACCGGGATGAGCAGGGGCTGGGTGCCAGGGATGACCAGGTGCTGGGGCAGGCTGCCGGCATAGGTGATCGCCTGCTGCTGGCTGCTCAGGTAGCCGATGACGGGCGGCTGTGTCCCTGCGTAGAAGGCTGTGGCTGGCAGTCCGACTGGGAGTGGCTCCGAAGCGCTGTGTGTGGTCTGAATGACCGTGTGGGGTGACAGCGTGGCGACGGTGGCGGCCTTCACGCCTTCGGGGCCCAGAGCCTGTTGGGGTGAGAGCGCGTAGGAGCGGTGTCCGGGCTTCCCTAAATGCAGGCCACTTTTGTCGTTGAGGGTGGAGGGGGAGGCCTCGCGGTGCGTGACCTGCTGCACTTCCAGGTCGGAGACGGGGGTGTTGCTGTTGGGCAGGACCATCACAGAGGCCCGGACCCCCGCGGAGTCCCGACTGCCGTAGTCGGAGGGGCTGGGGTGGACAACCATGTGCCTGGACTCATAGGGGTGAGGCGCTGACTTGCCGCCGGCCTTCACCAGGCCCAGGTCGGCCGAGGTGGGGGCCCCGTACCGCCGGCCCTTCTCCAGCTCCCCATTGAGGATCTCCTTGGCCTGCATGGCCTGCTGCAGCCTGCTGCTCTCGGCTTTCTTGGTGGCCTCCCGAGGAAGGAAGTGGCTGCCGGAGTCGGTGTATTGCACTACGACCTGGGGGGAGGGCCCCAGGGTGATGGTGTGTGGGATCATCGTCTGGTGGGGATGGAGGTGGACGGGGATGGCCGGCGGAGAGGCCGTGCGCCCGGCGTTCTGCGGGGAGCTGGCGATGTGGACATACTGGTTCTGCTGGGTGGGTGGTGGGGACCCTGGTGCCATGAGCCCTGGAGTCCTGCCCAAGTGCTGCTGCTGCTGCTGCTCAGCCTTGTGTCCTGAGGCGTGGCTCAGCCCGCCCATGCTGGCCAGCAGAGTGGAATAGGCCTCCAGCTGGGAGCGCTGGGATGGAGTGGAGACGCCCCCGGCCGAGGCCACGGCGCTGGTGGCGGGGCTGGCCGTTGGGGAGATCAGCTGGGAGGGGATGAACCCTGCGTAGGGCCCGCTGTACTGGGAGGACCCAATAAACTGGAAAGTGTGCGGCAGGTGCGCGTACTGCACGGGCGACACCGGGGTCCCTGACTGCGGGGGAGGGTACACCGTGGGCAGCGTGGTGGTCGCCGGGACGGACCTGGGCGCGCTGGGTGGGGAGTAGTCCAGCGCCGTGGGCAGCGCTTTGTGTAAACCTATTCCCTGTTGTAAACCAAGCTCCACCGCAGTCCCCGCCGGGCCATGCCTCCCGCCCCCGTGACCTCGGCCACCAAGGGCGCCGGGGAGCCATGCCACGCCCTCGGCCCGGTGGTTGTCGCTGGGCAGGACGGTGGCCTTCTCCTCCGAAGGCCGGCTGGTGGCCGGGATCTCGCGCTTCTTGGGAGGCAGGCATTCGTTGCTCCGCTCTTGGTTGGATTTCATTTTTCGCCGTCCCCCCTCCACGGTGACTGCTTCACTGTCTGGCTGGCTCTGATTTTAGTCTGATAAATGGAAAGTCACATTTGATTTCTGTAGGGGATCCAGGCTCTTCATGAGGAATCATCTCCCCGTGGGTGCAGTCCGCCAGCAGCAGCTCTGGAATCTGGGGAAAGGAAGAGGGAAAGGAAGAGAAAGGGAAGGAGGGAAAAGAAATCAAGACATCAGCACCGGAAAAGGACATCCTCCCAAGACTAAGACTAGGCTTTGGCTTCAGTGCAAATTCTGAAAACATGATTCTAGCCCCGGCACTGAAACAGCTAAAACAGTGGCCTCGGTGAACATCCTATCGGGAAGATGATTAAGACATGGAGCAAGTCAAAACTTAAAGCAGAGACCTTTTTATGAAGTTAATTCCCCTAAGACACGTTTCTCAATACCTCTCTTCTTTTTTCTTATTAGAAGGTAGACAATGTGCTTCTAAAGTTTTCTTTTCGGAAATGCTGGTTCCATGCCTCACCTCTTCTTTACTTTGTTGGAAAATCAAATGAAACTCACAGGGAGGATGACATCAGGGAATGTTCCCTGGGCCCCACCCTCCAAGCCAGGCCCTGGGGAGGGGCAGGTTAGGAGTGAGAGCCTCAATGGACTTTGCATGTCATTCTGAATCCCCATCTGTTAAAGCCACTACTCGAAGATGCCACCTGACTCTGGGTCCATCCTAACTTTACAACAATTCTCTTTACAAGAATTCCCAGTACAGCCACTCATGATAACAGAAAACCAAAAGAAATTGGTGAGACAGTTCAAAAATGAATATGGTTACAGTTTTTTATAAAAATTCGATAATCATGCAGGTGTACTGAAGGCTTCTTTAATGATGGTTACACACTTGCTTCATCCCCGACTCGTTCCAAGTGGCCTTTGAATTTCCTTTTATACCCTCCGCCCCTGCTCTCCTTGGAGAGAGCCAGCCTACCCTTAACCCTGGAGGTAAAACTTCTTTCAGACCAATCAGAACCTGTGTGTTTACACTCGAACATACAAACAGTGAACCTGGAGCCATTTCTTAGACGCATATCTCAGTCTCCCAGTAAACACTGAATTCCAAGTCACCAAGACTGTGGGCAAAGAGATGACCACCTGGCAGGAGACAAAACATCAATGGAAGCTACGGGAACCAGGCTAACAAGGGCCAGATGTGTGCGCCCCCTACGGCCAGCAGCTGCAGACACGCACAATGCCACCATGCTATGACTTTGGGAAACTGTGAGGTCCTGCTGTGGGGATCACGTGCCCTGGGGTTACAGTGATCCTCCTACCCAGACACTCTTTTCTATGCTCTGATTTAAAAAAAAACACACACAATATGGCAGCAGCCTTCAGCCTCTGATCCTTGTCTATCTGAAGCAATCGCCATATCCTTTTTTAAAAAAATCTTTTCATATCCCTATTATTACACACTTTTCTCCGACGCCCCTCCGCTCAACTCCCAACACCAGCTTATTCCACATCTCCTATACAGTTTACACACCCCACCCTGGTCTGCAATTTTACTTTATTTTGCCAATGATTTAGTGGTCCTTTTTGGTTTTGCTTGAATATCACTAACAAACATCACGATAAAAGTACAAATGGCACGAGACCAGGTCCCCCAACTACAATGACTATGATCAGTTTATGTTGAAGGTGGAGGTTTAGGAATTTGGTGTCTCAACATCAAAGAGCATTTCAGTTATAATAGGGTTTCTCATATGATGAGAGGCACTTTAAAGACTGGGACAGAAACAAAAATAAAAAGACCTAAAATATTAATGCTGAAGAAATATCTGGGTCGAAAGAGTAGTGTCAATTATTTACTCTCCCGACCTGCAGCCTTTTAAAGTCCAGGTAACTGTGTTCTGCGTAGCCTTCTCTTATAGAGTGCACTACATAATTTACACCCGGTACTCGCAAGTCAATGAAATGCAGTGCTATTTTCAAAACAATGACAGAATTAAACTACAATGCATCAAAAACAGTTGCCCTTTTGGGCTGCTTAAAAAGCACTGATAATGATCTAGAGATTTCAAGAGTCACCCATGAGCACGGGAACTGTATGAGCTCTCATATTCCCATACCAACTAGCAGTTATATAAGATAGATCTCCTCAAAGCCCACCATTCCATACGCCCCCTGCTGGCTCTACACTAGCACTAATCCAATAAGACCCCACAAGATTTCACTAAGGATTTTCATGCAAGTAGTATGTCAGAATCTGAAATGAGAACATTTGCATATAGTAGGCCCAGCCAGTAAGGGAATAGGTTAATTAGCTCAAGACAGCCTCAGGGAAGAAAAAGCAGCAGCAGAAAAGTCCTTTCAAAGCCAAGCAAAATGTCAAACACATTCAGAAATAGGTCTATTAGCAATGCAAATGTAAAATTGCCCGTACAACTGAATGCACAATATACAAAACGAGAAAACCCCTTTGAAGGTACTTTTTAAAGAACCCAGTTTGAAGAAGAATGCTGACTTGGTTCTCAGGAGTGCCCTGGCTTATTTACATTGCTTATTTAGCGCTGGTCTTCTGCTAATGGACCACTAAGACTTGGCCTTGACAAATTCATATATTTTCTTTTAAACAGTTATCCATTGATAAACAACTTTTCCTGATAATAATAATAATAATGATAAAACCAAGGATATAAAGATAAAGACTGAACTGGACCAAAAAGGGCCAAACTGATAAAAATTCAACCCATCCTCCTCCCACATTTGGAAGGACCATGCCTGCTATTACCAGTGCAGCTTGGAGGAGACGAGGATCTAATTCTGGGGATGTGCTCCTTCCCTGTGCTCCATTTTCTCTCTGTAGTGTCAGTATCTCCTATCAGGGAGAAGCACTGTGAGGGCAGGGGCTGTGTCTTGCTCTTTCATATACATGTTTTACTGATTTCAGAGGGGAAGGGAGAAGGAGAGAGAGAGAGAGAGAAATATCAATGATGAGAGAGAATCATGTGCCCTGACCAGAATCGAATCCTAGACCCTTCAGTCCACAGGCAGACACTCTATCCACTGAGCCAAACCTGCTAGGGCTGTGTCTTGCTCTTTGCAGTGAACCACCAGAGGGTGCCAGAGTATGCTACCATGTCCATGTCTCTGGAACATTGGGTGATTATTCAATGAATAGAAAAGAAGGAAGAGGTCAATAATGAAGGTAGAAAAGTGCAGTAGGGAAAAGGAAGGGATAGAATAAGGGATAAGAAAGAAGAAAAAAGGAGAGTGGGATTTCTGCTTTTAGGGTCTCCTTCCAGCTGCAGACAAATGGCCTCTGTTTCCCCAATCGCCTTCTCAGGGCTGAAACCCAATGATTCAGCTGGGCCCCAAGGAGTTTGCCTCCGATGTTCCCGCCACAACAGAACACTTCCTTTGAAACATGGAGCCACACAAGAGTCCATAAACACTAAGTTACAAAAGAACCACGAATGCAGATCATACTGTTCAAACATCAGGAAGGCTAAAGTGGAGGGGGAGTTCATAGATGAAGTGAGACAGACTTACTTAGGGTTTACTACATACAGTTTACCTGGTAATCACTGTTCTGGATACATTCACCTCAAGCATCTCTATATCTACATTTATATCTATCCCTCGATCAGTATTTTCAAATTTAGCTCAGTGGCCGAAGGCCTTGCCATTCCAAGGGTGGTCGTCAGGCCAGCAACACCAGCACCCCAGCAGCTTTAGAAATGCAGAACCTCAGGCCCCATCCAGGCCTCCTGATCCAGAATCTGTATTTTAACACGATCCCCCGATGACTCACAGGCACAGCAAGGTTTCAGAAACTCAGTATAAGAATACGTTTTCTGCTCATAAGCTCCCAAGCACGGTAAACATCTCTAGCCTCTTTCCCCTGAAGCAGGCGCTAGGAACCCCGACCAGGGCTGCACATAAACAGAACTGATGGAGGCTTGCTGCTTATCTGCTAACTGATGGAGATAAGCAGCGAACATGGAGGTAAGACGCAGCTGTTTCCTTTGGTGTCTCCTAGACCAAGACGGTTCTAAATAACAGACGTTCCTTTTCTTCCGTCTTCAAGAAGTATAGAAAAACACACTTTAAAAAGGCTAGTGTCATACGTTTTGTACAGGACTCGAAGAAAAACAAACTTTAACAAAGAAAGCCACACATATCTTTGCTATAATACGAAACAGTTTCCCCCAGTACCATGGATTTAGACTGTTTCAGAAATGATAAAAGAACCAAGATGCCTCTGTACCGAGAGATGTGGGAGCAGATCCCCACTGACGGCCAGTCCTATAAACAACAACCACGCGCTCTGAACGGAAGATGCTCCTAGAACGGGACACACGCCATCCTGAAAATGCATTCCGAGGTCATGGCAATGAACTGGGCTGCGCGCCTAGCACACCCAGCCCGGAGAGTGTGAACCCACGCCTTCCTGGCATGTGTGTCTATGCAGAACAGAGGCATGGCTACAGTTTTAAAGAGGAAGGAACGCAGACTGCAGAGCTTGTCTGTTCTGGAAAAACCATCTGACCATTAGGAGACAGAACACCGGGGCCTGGTGGGAGAGGTCACTAGGACGTGGCGAGGATTCTCTAATTCCTGGTACGCCCATCTCCCTTCTGTTTCATTTTATTGCTAAGATTGAAGATCCGTGTGCTGAGCTGGTAGAAGGCACTTCATTAAAATATTAAATATTAAAAACAGGCCCAACCCTGACATCCTTGGGGTTTTTGGGATGGAGAAAGGTGGGGTGGATGATAGCATAATTAGATACCTTCATGGTTGCTGAACAGTATGTCCCAAAGGAAGTGGATCACACATTCATTCATCATTTACTTTGCCTCTGATGCGTACAGTGGACCTTAATTTTTCAATGTCAGCATGGAGCCAATGGTATGCCAGGACTCTATTTTTAGGTCTATTCTGTTCAACATTTTATTAGTGCTTTGGCTATCATATTCAGAGGTAACAGAAGGCTGGAAGGAATGCTTAATGTATTATTGCAATTAATATTCAAATATATCCTCAGAACCTGGAAGTGATGGCACAAAACCAAGAAATTTAAGATTAATGAGAGTAAATGTAAATACCTGCCCGTGGTTTCAACAGCTCAATTAGTTTAGTAGCAGAGCTGGAGAGAACGGCTGGCTTGAG